GAGAGAGAGAGAGAGAGAGAGAGAGAGAGAGAGAGAGAGAGCTCTGTCATTATGTCTCCAGAGAAAGTCTATTTATACTCACAACTCTGGTAACGCTCTATTTGTATACACAGACACATATGCACATGTGTTGAAAATATCTATAAACAGTGACCGGGAAAATAATACCCCTGGCTGCCAAGAAATCAAGCTTAAACCCTGCTATGGCATATGCGCGTGTGTGTGTGTGCACGTTTGCATATTTCCTTCCTTCACCACACCTACCTGGCAAGGCAACAGTCAGTCTTCTGACCTAAAGGAGAGAGAAACAGGAAAAGGGGGATGGGAGAGAGAGAGAGATAGACAGTTATAGCAAAAGCAGGACACATGAGGAAACCGCTTCAGACGGACCGAAACAGGGAAACAAACTTTCCACTTCAGCTGTACACACACACACACACACACACACACTATCTAGGAGGTTTTCCTGCAAGGTTGTGGAAATGTAGACACATTCGGCCCTAAGGAACCCCCCCCACACTCACTCACACAGACACACACACTTAAACACACAGCTGCATCAACATATGGTCACTGTCACTGTGACCCTCCACTCACTCGCACATTCACTCACTCATTTATTAGATAAATGAAACCCACTCTGCTTCCCTGCATGTGGCCTGTAGTGTCCTATTAAACCACTCATGCTCCCTATTCCCTGGATCCATCTCCCTCCTACGGGAGGGGGGGGGGGGGGGGCTCCCAGTAGTACACACACACAGACGGGACACAAGGACAAAGTCTAAAACATATGAAGGCCATTATGACAGTCCCACTCACTCTCTCCCATGGTCTTGTCGATGAGGTCATGCTTGGCCTCCAGCTTGGTGATCAGGTTCCTGCCTTCCAGAAACTCCTTCAGCTTCTACAACACACACACACAGACACACTGGGGTCACACACTGTGTGACTGCACAAATGCTCCTGACAAATCATCGATGACCACAACCAGTGCTGACCGTGAAGTAGAACTGCTCCGTCTCCTGCTGATTGGCCCGTCGTTTGGCCAGGCTGGGCTTGCTGAGATAGGATTCACTGAAAGTGGACTTGACCGACTCCATGCTGTTGCTGTGGTGGAAGCACTCAGAGACGTCGTAGTCCTCCACCGTCACCATGTCTTGGATGGTGGCCAGAGTGGCCTCCATGGTTTTCTTCACCTGATGGGCAGTGGGGAAGAGAAGAAAAATGAAATAAAGGAGAAGCTGTGATTAACACACAAGGCAGCAGCAAGGGGTGAAAGATGAATTCACAGAAGATGTCTGACCTCCTCGTTCTCAATCCTGAGTGTGGAGAGGCGGGACTGCAGCTGCTGACACCTCTGGAGCAGCTCGCTTTCCAGTGGCTGCTGTGCACACACCACTCCCATCTACACACACAGAACACAGCGGACAGTGAGACACAAAAACAACCATCCCAGTGCGCGGACCAAAGCTTCAATATGAGGAATTTATCACTGAAGAAAAACACGGCGACTAATAATGACTCAAGCACTAGAACTGTACCGTGTCTCCCATGTGAGACTGGAAGTCGAAACGAGTAGGGGGACAGAAGACGTTATTGTAGGTCTCCATCAGTTTCTGTTTGTCCCCGTTGGCCTCCAGACTCTCTGCGGCTCCCTCCAGCGTCTCCAGGCCAGAGTGTTTGGATGTCTCTACGTTCTGCTCTGCCGATAGGTAGGTCCTCAGGGCGCGGTGCAGGCTAGCATGGTAACCTAGGTCACAGCACTGTCACACACACACACATGTGCACACAAAGAAAAGTACATAAACACACATGCTATGGCATGCAAACACTGTTGGTGAAAGAAACTCAAGGGGACAACACCAAGCAAAATGGCAAAAACATGCAGGGAGGGCGACTAGTCGACGGCCGTCATTAGGAGCACTGAGGCTAATGTGAAGAGACTGACCGAGGGGCCGCCACCGGCTAGAGCACAGGGACACACACACACACACACACACACACACACACACACGTCTACAAAGGTTAGCTCCTCTCACAGAGTAATATGGTGTATACTCACGTCAATGATGTCGGAGAGGTCGTGGATGTAATATTTGAAGACACAGCTGTTGGTGGCCTCCAGAGCTAGCAGGTACTCATTCCTGGCCTTGATGGCCTTCAGCTTGTTCTCTGTGTACTTAGCTTGTCTCTGATAAGAGACAGAGAGAGAGAGAGAGAGAGAGATAGTAGAAAGAGAGAGAAAAAGGGTGATCGTAAAGGGGAGAATGCAAGAAAACAGGCGAGAAGGAAAGAGGAAGGGTAAAACAGATTGAGAGAGGGAAGGAATAATTGGTGTTAGAGTGAAACACCTCAGTATTGATTATGGATAATACGACGTGGTGAAGCATGTTGCTGTGACAGCCCCAGCTGTGGTAGACAAGGTTAGCAATAAGCCAGCCGTGCACTCGTAAATCATTCATGAGACACACATTGTAAGTCTGTGTGACAACAGGTGGAGCACTCTGAAACAGCTTTCCACTCTCTACTCACTGCCCGCCACCTCCCCTCCCCCCCGCAGGTCCAGCCCTGCTCACCTTCTCCTTCATCTTCTCAATTTTCTTGACACTGGAGCGTCGGACGGGCTTCTCGTCGGTCTTGATGCTGGCCAAGGTGTCGGGGGAGCGCGGCGTCTGCCGGTCGTCCTGTCGACCAGAGCGTCCCATCTGCTTCTCCTCCTGCTTCTCCGCCTCCTTCAGCTTGGACTCGGCGTTGATGCTGTCAGTGTTGTACATGTGGTATGTCTTCATCACCTGGGAACAAGGGCAAGCAGAAGTCAGCGCTTCCACCCAGTGTGTCTCTTACTTCGGATTTTGGCTTTGGATCAATGGCGGGATTACGCCAGTCAGCATAATGAGAGCAGAGCACTGAGTTTGACATGAAAAGTTAAACACATGAAACGAGTGTGTGTGTGTGAGTGTGTGTGTGTGTGTGTGTGTGTGTGTGTGTGTGTGTGTGTGTGTGCGCGCAGGGTCAGCCTTATTCCAGTGACCACCACCAGAGCCATCATTACACTGCTCTAACCCTGCCACAACACTGCAGACCGACGCACTAGTCTTTCTATGAGTATGCATGTGCGCGTCACTCAAACCAGATCTATTTCTATCTCTTACTACATATTATAATTACAGCATGAGACCTGCTTTTATGGGCCAAAGCTGAGCTGCTAAACCATTGCTTGCTGCTCAGAGACGTGCTGTGGGAGGAAACTTTGCCCACACACACACACACACACACACACACTCTTATTGTCGTTTTGGCAGTACCATGGACATTTGTTACCAGACGCTACGAGGCCCCTGGCAGTGTGAGAAGACTGAAAACAACTGACGGTGATGATGCTGTTGTAAGGATGTTCACAGTAGCATGACTACACAGTATTACTTAGGCTCATGCTCGATAAAAAAAGTCTATCAACAAGAATCTACTGCCAGGCTATCGGCTCTGTCGAGCTTGATGTTTAGCGAATCTGTTTACTATGACCAACAAGATTTAGTTTAGCATGTTAGCATGCAAACATTTGCAAATTATCCCCCGAAACACAAAGCACAGCTGAGGCTAATGTCATTAGCTTTGCAAGTATTTGATAACAAAGCAAAAGCGTTGGACAGATTCAAATTCTAACCTGATGGTGCTAACGGAAACCCGCTAGTGTGGCTAAACATCCTTAACAGCTGATCGTAGCCAAGTTGCTTGTATTATATATAAGCTTTGTGTTGCCAGCTTATGTTCGATGTATTTGTAAAATAATGTGTACTTGCAACTGCTCCTTGTAGTAACATACTTTGCACCTTATGTTTTGAAACATGTTGAATAAAGCACTTTTTAAAGCAGGTTTTTTAAGCAGCCTATAACACCTATGAGGAAAAGACTGCCGACCCTGACGCACTCTCCCCATTGAGCAACACGAGATGCAGGGGATCAAAACACATAATTATGGATCCACATTCTGTGATCGCAATGTCAGTGGTTTCTCTTACCGTGTAAAGCTCATTAAGAACTTTCATCAGGTCCTCTTGCAGCTGTACGCCGACCTCTTTGCTCTGAAGGGACAGAGGGAAAAAGACGGATTAATGTAGCTCAGCGTCAGTACTTGCAGCTTCTACCGTCTGTCCATCTACCTGGTCTCTCTCTACCAACTAATGACATCCATACCCGCATAGTCATGTGGTCAACCAACTGCCCCATCATCAATCAAAACTAGATTATCTGGCTGATGGGAGCGGAGGAGTAAAAAGTCCAGATAAATGAGCAAGGCAGTAATGGACTGTGGAAGTGAATAGATGTGGACTTTCAGGCTGCAGACAGATACTGATCTTTACAAGCTGGCGGGGAGGACTAGACAGAGAGGGCTAGAGGACGACGGAGCCAAAGACAGAGGGCAGGATGACGAAGTTGCAAAAGATAAAAAAGAGACAAAAGAGGGAGGACAGGGAGTAATACAGGCACTGCCATTCTCCAGACAGAACTGCCGGCAGCCACTAGTGACTGATGACTTCACAGCAACCCACAGATCAGAAGACACACACACACACACACACACACACACACACACACACACACACACACGTACACAAACACACAAACTGCTTTCACGGCTCCTCCTATACTTTTTAATAGGACGCCATTCAGACTGGGTTATAATGAAGACGCAAAGAGAGGCATAGACAAGCTACAAAGGAACCATATGTGTGCACAGATTGAGACATACACAAACAGAACTTTAAAAAGCAGACAGACAGACAGACGGCGGGGATAAAGGAGGAAATAGAAAGAAAGCAAAACGGTCAACTGAAAAAAAAAGGTTTAAGGAATGCAGGATGAACAGATTTCTCCAGCGCATGTTGAGCATCAGTCTTCCAGTTGGAGGAGGGCGCAAAACCATTCGGGAGAATTACAAAGAGCAGAAAGGTCAGGAACCGAGGGAGAGAGCAGCGAGCTATAAGGTGGCGTAGCAGACGAAAGAGGTAACAGGATCACTGAGGTGGTTCCGCCCTCGCTCTTTAAAGTGCTGTGGGAGCCTCATATTAGGCGACAACAAGCCAGACTACAGCCAATCAAAAAGCAATCACCCATGGCTGAGCTCTCCTATCTATCAACTGTGGATCCTGACCTTTGGGCTTCTCATCTTGCCGTTGGTCGTCGGTCTGGCTCGGCAGAAAAGGCAACAGAATCTAGCGCGCTTCATTGTTCCCTGATGTCTGTGGTCCAGGTTGAGACTGTGTACAGTTTGACTCATCAGTGCTTCCTCTCTTTCAGTGACGACATCTCATAAACACTCCCGCTGTGCTAACAGTATCGGTCTGCACCGCTTTCCAGGCCGGCTGAGATGAACGTGATGACTGCTCTAAGAGTTGTGATGTTCGTCTCAATGAGTCGTATTATAAATGAACTAATTATCTACCTAATTAGCCATCAGAGTTTTCTCTGTGTGTATGCGCACAGACAGTTTGTGACCCAGACATGATGGAAGCAACCCTCGTGCCAAAGAACAAGCAGCGTATTAAATATAGAAATCAATGCACATGACTTGACCAAACTGAGACAAAAAGGGGAGAAAGTGTGTGTTTCTTTGTACTGGTGTATCAGATGAGGGTGGAGGTTTGTGTATGTGCTCTCATTGCCTGCCATCAGACTGTAAGTGGAGTTCAAAGAAGCCTATCGGGTTGAAAATCAGCAGCCTCTGCCATGACATTCCAGGCACAGACTGCTTCACTCTGCCTTCCACACACGCATTTATCTTACTATACTTGTGAGGGCTTTCCTCTCATACATTCTTACATCCTATGCTTAGCCTCCCTCACTTTAATCCTTAACTTAAACTTAACCCATTATATTTTTACCCTAAACCCTGTTCAAGGCTACACGCACTTAACCTTTGAAGAGGCAACGATCAGCCAAGATGAATTGACTTCTTGCTCTGAAACCCAGCTGTTAAAACGACACTAGATTAGAGATCATACATACACACTGAATTCCTGCTTGTATCTCAGTGTGATGCACTGACCCTCTGAGCTTGTGCATTTGGTCGTAGTAGTGCAGTGCCTGTTAGGAAAGGGCGGATTGCTTGGCTTCCGATCTTGGGGGGGGGGGGGGGGGGGGGGGGCGTGTCCGTTTGGAGCAGGCCAAATACTTAGCCCTCGAAAGTGCTGCTTGTCGTGTTGTCGAGAACCGCTCAAAGAAGGGTTTGGTTGTAATGTTAGCATTCCAGCATCCAGCAGTAAAAGCGAACCGCAGTCAATGAGCTGCGGCCTGAAAAGGCCTGCAGTGGCTGACGTGCTCGAGGCCACGGAGTTCTGAAGCCCCGCCCCCCGGTGCTGCACAGAGCGCTATAGCTTGTTTATTCAACATGTATTAATATTGAGCGTATCGCATGACGAAATTGCAGAAACTTGGATGCCGCATGCCCTTTGGTCCCGAGCAATACACCCACCAAGTGTGAAGTAGATCGGATGTACGGTTCTCAAGATATCCCAAGGACATACATGCATACGTACGTACATGCGTAGAGACAGATATGCATTGCTTTATAGTTGCATATGTTCTGCCCGGAGGTGCAGACTCTCTACAAGGTCACAGTGAGCTCTGATCTCCAGAGAAATCTCTTCCTCCCCTCCCTATCCGTTCTCTCTCTTATCCTCTCATGTTGTCCCCTCAGTTCACTCTTTATCCATTCTTCTTCTTCTTCATTTCTTCTTTCTCACCATCACCCTGACTCGTCTCTTTTCTCTCAGACTAGCGAGGCAGAGATCAAAGGACACAAGATTGAGACTACTGTATGAAACACAGACAACATAAACTCTCCTGGCCTGAGGTTCAGCTGACTTGCCGTCAGTCAATAAATCCGCCAAGACAGAAAACAGATGCCCTTCAGAGAAGGATGGACAAGGCAAGAACTTGACATGGACTCAGCTTATTGGGCTTGAGTCCCACTGTGTGTTTGAGTGAGCGTTACCTTCTTGAAGAGGCGTCCTGAGTCCTCGCTGATCTGTGCGAAGCGGGGGATGATGTTGTTGAGGTAGAGGTCGGACAGCGTGGCGTGGTCGCGGCTCTCCCTCTTCACCTGAAGCAGCAACAGGTTCCAGCAGTTCACGGGGGATAAAATGCTGTGCTCCTTCCTACACACAGAGAAACAGAGAGTCTTAAAAAAATGTATTCAAGGACCTCCAAGCACCTTTTTGGATAAATGACTAGCATTAAGTTTCTTTCATCTGCTAATTTCCTCTTTTATCCTGCTGCTAGATGTGCGCACCCACATACACACAGGCCTACTTCAAGTGAAATATAGAGACAAGCGTTTTCACAAAGATGAGACATTGGGATAAAAGACAGGGAGGGAGAGCATGCACACACACACCCTTGTTCTTCTATCTTTGGGAGGACACTTATTGTCAATATGCATTACCTAGCACCTTGCATTAACCTCAACAATCACAACCAACTGCCTAAACTCAACCTAGCCCCAACCCTAACCTAACCCAATTCCAACCTGAATCTTAAACCTAATTCAAACAGGCTTTCATAGGTCTTTCCCAAAGGCAGGACCAGCAAAAATATCTAAAACGTAAATTGGTCCTCAGAAAGACAGCTGTACACACACACACACACACACACACACACACACACACACACACACACA